ATCACCTTTCCAAGTTGTGGCTCTGCAGCTATAACCAAAGCAAGTCCTTTGTCAATAGGACAAACTCTGACCTCCCCTGGTGGATCTTATGAGCTAGGGTTCTTCAGTCCTAACAATTCTGGGAATCAGTATGTTGGGGTCTGGTTCAAGAACATCACTCCTCAGGTCGTTGTGTGGGTGGCTAACAGAGATAAGCCAGTCACAAAAACAACGGCAAATCTCACTATTAGTAGCAATGGTAGCCTTATCTTGCTTGAGGGAGAAGAAGATCTTGTTTGGTCAATTGGAGAAACTTTATCATCCAATAAGTGTCATGCAGAGCTTTTAGACACCGGGAATCTTGTTGTGATTGATGATGTTTCAGGGAAAAGTTTATGGCAAAGCTTTGAGAATCTTGGTAATACTATGTTGCCTCAGTCTTCTGTGTCTTATGATATTCCTCGTGGCAAGAACCGTGTGTTGACCGCGTGGAAAAGTAACAGCGATCCATCGCCTGGGGAGTTCTCACTGGAGTTTACACCACAAGTTCCACCACAAGGACTTATAAGGAGAGGCTCATTGCCTTATTGGAGAAGTGGTCCATGGGCAAAAACAAGATTCTCTGGTATACCTGGAATTGATGAAACATATGTAAGTCCATTCACTGTTGTTCAAGATGTAGCAAAAGGGACAGCATCATTTTCTTATTCCATGTTAAGAAACTATAAATTATCGTATGTTACGCTAACATCAGAAGGGAAAATGAAGATCTTATGGAGTGATGGGAAGAATTGGACGCTTCACTTTGCAGCTCCAACAAGCTCATGTGATCTATATGATGCTTGTGGACCTTTTGGTCTGTGTGTGAGATCCACTACACCAAAGTGCATATGCTTGAAAGGGTTTGTACCAAAGTCTGATGAGGAGTGGAGAAATGGGAACTGGACTAGTGGGTGTGTGAGACGTACACAATTATCTTGCGAGGCGAATGCTTCTACGAAAACACAAGGCAAAGACGAAGACATGTTTTATCGAATGAACAATGTAAAGACTCCGGATCTGTACCAATTTGCAAGCTTTCTCAATGCAGAACAGTGTTACCAAGGTTGTCTAGGAAACTGTTCTTGCACAGCCTTTGCTTATATAAGTGGAATTGGATGCTTGGTATGGAACCGGGAGCTAATAGACACGGTTCAATTTTCGGCTGACGGAGAGTCTCTCTCCCTTCGTCTTGCAAGTTCGGAATTGGGTAAGCATGAGACTGTTAATACATATTACATTTTGAAGTTTCAACTTTCTATATGGTTACATGGTTTAATGTTTTACTTTTTCTGGTGATTATATCAGCTGGAAGCAATCGAACAAAGATTATCATAGCTACTAGTGTCAGCCTTTGCATTTTCGTGATCTTGGTATTTGCTGCATATAAGTTCTGGAGATACAGAGCAAAACAAAATGGTTAGACACTGGAAACTTTGGTCTTTGATCTTGTTCGCTTCTGTTGAAAGTTAGGCCTTGGATGCTAAATTAAGCACTAATACATGCACACTTGTTGTTACTTGTAAAAACCAAATCCTATGTTCATCAACAATTCACAAGATGCATGGAAGGAAGATATGGAACCACAAGATGTTTCAGGCATAAATTTCTTTGGGATGCATACCATACGAACTGCGACCGATAACTTCAGTTCCTCGAATAAGCTTGGTCAAGGTGGATTTGGTCCAGTATATAAGGTATGGGATACTCTGTTCTGTTTGATTATTTTCCTTTTATTCTCTTCTTTAGATGACTGACTTACCTGCAAATATGGTTTCAGGGAACGTTGCTAGATGGGAGGGAAATAGCCGTTAAGCGCCTCTCGAGCAGCTCTGGACAGGGTACAAACGAGTTCATGAATGAAATCAAACTAATCTCAAAACTGCAACATAGAAATTTGGTTAGGCTTTTGGGATGCTGCATCAGAGGAGAAGAGAAGCTATTGATTTATGAGTTTTTGGTGAACAAAAGCCTCGACGTTTTTCTCTTTAGTTAGTCCTCTATTCCATTGACCTCTTTGTTTCTCCATCGTTTGAGAGTAATCAATGTGTCAATGTCACTACTATCACTAATCTTGTCTACCTTATTGTATAGATTCAACTCTAAAGTTCGAGATTGATTGGCCAAAGAGGTTTAACATCATTCAAGGTATTGCCCGTGGACTTCTTTATCTCCACCGTGACTCACGCCTTAGGGTCATTCACCGAGACCTGAAGGTCAGCAATATCCTTCTCGACGAGAAAATGATCCCAAAAATATCAGATTTTGGATTGGCTCGGATGTTTCAGGGAACCCAATTTCAGGACAACACTCGCCGGGTTGTAGGAACTCTGTAAGAACCATTCTTCAAAAACGCATGCTTAACAAGATTCATAGTCATGATGATAAAACTGGGTGACAATATCTGATGTGTGCACAGTGGCTATATGGCTCCCGAGTATGCATGGACTGGAGTGTTCTCTGAGAAATCCGACATGTACAGCTTCGGAGTTCTGCTTTTGGAAATCATCAGTGGAGAGAAGATCTCAAGGTTCAGCTATGACGAGGGAAAAAACCTTATTGCATATGTAAGACTAAGTTTTCCGTAAACTTGCAGAGATTTCGAAATGTTTCTTCTTGCTCTTATATTCTAAAGATTACTAAACAACAGGCATGGGACTCCTGGTGTGAAACCAAAGGAGTCGATTTTCTGGACCGAGATCTTGCCGATTCATGTCATCCATCTGAAGTTGGGAGGTGTGTCCAGATTGGTCTGCTCTGTGTTCAACACCAACCTGTAGACAGACCCAACACACCTGAGTTGCTGTCTATGCTCACCACAACATCAGATCTTCCATCACCGAAACAACCTACATTTACAGTACACAGTAGAGCTGATGAATCCATGTCTAGCGATTTGATCACCGACAATGGGATGACACAATCTGTGATCCAAGGGCGTTAAGAAACAGATGCAAGATCGGTTTTTTCTTTCTTTTTTTTCACGCAGACACATAATCTATCACTTCATTTGGCAATAGTTCCAATAATGCAAAAGACAAAAATTTCAGAGAACATCAAATAACTACATAATCCATATCTGTAATGGACCAAATGCTCTTCTTCTCTATGATTCTCCTGTGTTTCAACTTATTTAAGCAGGACTAGCTTGTTTACAAGATTACAACAAAGAACCTTAACTGTGTGAAAGAAAACTCAAACCACAAAACTATATATAAGAACTCAAGAAGACGAAACCTGTTTCATCGGTTTCCTCTAGTGTACTTGCAGGACAAAAAAATCAACCATCAGTGTCTTTTCTTTCCTTCTTTATAGCTTCATAAGAAAACAAAACCTCTTTGAATTTAGCTTCAGCTACATCTTTGTTATCTTGATTCTGATCTGGATGAAACTCCATAGCTTTAACCCTGAAAGCTTTCTTAATCTCAGCTTCTGTATATGGAGCTACTCTTGACCTATTAAGTCCCAAAACAGAGTAATGATGTGATAATGGATACACTCTACTACTCTCTTGATTTGGAGGAGGAGTCTTCTCCTTGTAATTAGTCCTTTGGTGGGTTTTCCAGTACCAATCATGTCGTTGAAACTGTTGATGGTATTGTTGATCTTCATTCTCTTTCCAATTCTCGAAACCTCTTCTGAATTTGTTCCTTTCTCTATTGAAAACACTTTGCATACGTCTAATTCGTTCGAC